AAATTTTGAGATAGAATGGTATAAACCGTCACTTCAAGATAGAACTGTATAAAACGTTACCGCAAGATAGGACTGTATTAACCTTCACCGTAAGATAGGATTGTAATACATGGAGGTATCGATGGGATCGTGTATTATTCTCCAATAGGTATATCTCGATTAATTTAATATTCAAACTATTGTTAATTTAGGAATTTTAGGAATTTCATTAAGGATTGCAGATAAGAACTATGGGTTCAGAACAATTTAGCATCTTGTTTAGACCATATAAGATATTATATTTATTTAGCAATAGTTATAATTGATTCTTACTTACAATTATCTTTATATTATGTAACCTTAATCCCTACCGCACTGAAACAAGAAGAGAGAGAGAGAGGGGGTCATTTAAAACTAACCCTTCTTCTGGTCAGAACGGGCAAAACTTGTTTTTAAACATTGATTTTATAAGCATTATTTATTCGCGGTTGTATTTATTGTCCATTTCTTTGGAAAGTAAACCAAGAATCGTTCACTGAAAGTTAACACGTTGTACAAAATTTCAATTGTTGTAACAATTTAATTGTCATCACTACACAATAGACCTTTTCATTTAAGGAGTCTGTACTGCGCAAGCGCGGAGTATATATAGATCTTCCGACAAAGTTTCGAGCACTTTTTGTACAAAATGCACAGTGCCAAATAGTGAAAAGTAATTAAAAAATATTACTAATGAATGTAGAAAGAAAAATTAGCGTGTATTAAAAATGAGCAGTATCCCTGAGAAAAATAATCCACAAAGGAAAAAAATTGATGCACAAAAAAAATATTGTTTTGGGAATTGCAAAAGTGATGCTCGTTGCAAGTCTTATTTGACTGAAAATTATTACTTTATTTCTTTCCCAAAACCGTTTAACATTTAGAAAATGAAATATTAGGAATGAAAATATTCGAAGTAATTGCAAAACTTGTCAAGTATATCGAAAATGAGACCTTTGGGTAAAGTTATGTTCATAGCATAACATAACCTTATTTACATGTAAACAATATAGACTTTTTTTACCCTTTAAACACTGACTTCGGCTTTATAACCATATTTTTAATTGACAGACAGTATTTTTCTCTACCTGTTCAAACATTAATTTTGCTTCTGGAATATCATTTTCATCGAGTTTTTTATTTGAATTGTTATTAGCACAATATACATTCTGACACAAAGTTGCTCGAGAATTTTGAAATCGCGCCGTCTGTCATGGCGTAGCTTCAACTTCCGGTCTTAAATGAAAAGGTCTATTTCGACGACTCCAGTACAAAATAAAATTTTATTTGTATGAAAGTTTTTGACACTACGATAATTTTTCTTTAACGACAATATTCACAATTTCGCAAATAAAATAATACTTGGTTGAGACGATTTGAGATTTTCACGTTTGCCCGAATTCGATTGCCCGTGGCGAACCTTTGAATCGGCCGAGTCTCACAGACGGTCAACCTCGCGATGACCTGTCTCCAGGAGTTAACTGTCGCGAAGAAGCGAATTACATCGTAAGCACACCAGTTTTATTGCATGAAATTGAGGCTTGGGTGTCAACAAACTACAATCTGGTCATTGAACCAAAAGAGTCTTTGACACTTAAATTTTCGAGTTAATGCATAAAAGTGGTGAAATCATTCTTGTATTTTGTGCTTGTCAATTATTTTAAATTATAGAATCGTAAGAAAGAATAGAATATGAAAGAATTTGGAATTTCTTGATCATGCAAAAAGACTGTTATGAACTCGAAGCAATCCTTATGTTATTGACCTGTTTGCGACACTACGGCTTTTACAAATAAGTTCATTGAATTTAATAATCTATTTAAATTTCTAATAACAATTAATTATTATATATAGCACATGATCAAATAGATATCCGATTTTTCAAAGTATTACTTTTAAATCAATAATAAAAAAAACGATACTTTGAATGTATCGTAACAGCAATATTTAATGGATAGTTTCCCCCCAGAAAAGTTGAAAGTTTTGGGTTTTTCGGTACAATGCTTATTTTGATAATTTTTTTACTCTTAAACAATTAAACATAAAAATTTGTCCGAGTACAGTTTCGAAAGGTTTCTTCATGCTCTTTCGATTTGAAATAAGTATTTTGAATAAAAAATTTGTTCGACCTAAAAAATCAAAATTAAAAATAAATTTTAATTTTTGGGGGGGAAGGATACGATTTTTTTTACGAAAGCTTAGGTTTTTTCCTAAAAATACATACATATGCAAAAGTGGGACTAGAATCTTTAAACACTGAAAAAAAGAGATTTCTTCCAAACGGAGCCAAAACCCGGGTTTTGAGCACTCCGATCAGTAGAAATCTCTTTTTTTCAATGTTTAAACATTCTAGTCCCACTTTTGCATATACATATATGTCCTTTTAGTAAAAAAAACCTCAGCTTTCGTTTAAAAAAAATCGTATCCTTCCCCCTAAAAAATTAAAATTTATTTTTAATTTTGATTTTTTTAGGTCAAAAAATTTTTGTTTCAGAATAAGTTCTTTTACGCAATATTTGTTGATTTCAAGTCTGCCCTTACATCGATAGATCACGAATTGTTATGGCAAACGTTATACGCATTGGGAATGAGCACGAAAGTTTTAAATATATTGCGAGATTTTTATTCTAAAACAAGAATATGTATTAAAACTAATAAGGGTAATACAGAGGAAGTGCCTGTCTCTAGAGGCGTTATGCAGGGAGAGGTCCTTAGCCCAATTTTGTTTCTGCTATTTATAAGCGACTTAGAAGATCTCTTGAGAAGAGAGGGATGTAGAGGTATTTTATTATTAATACCCGTGTAGAAATTGCCATATCTAGGCCATATCGTGGCATGAAACACCTTCCCAGATCGGGCCCAAGTCTGGCCAGACTTGGGCCCGATCTGGGTAGGTGTTTCATGCCACGATATGGCCTACACAATGATAACAAGATGTGGCCCCTATTTGGGCCATGGTTAAATTTCTACACGGGTAAAGTTACACAAATATCTTTGTTGGCATACGCGGATGATTTAGTGATTTTCGCTGACACTCCAATGGAATGCGCTCAAACACTAAGGTCCCTTTCTTTATACTGCAAAGTAAATAAATTGGTATTAAATACTGAAAAAACAAAAATAATGTTATTCAAGAACTCTAAAAAAGATAATATCTGTTAAAGGCATTCAAATAAGAGGATAAGTGTATCGAAGTAGTTAAAGAATTTAATTACCTCGGTCTTGTTAAAAGCATTTCTTATATAGGATTCAAATATGGGGGCTTGAAATCTTGGAAAAATTATAACAAATTCAATCCTATGTCAAATCTGACTTGAAATCCTATGTCAAATCTCACTTGAAATGCGACGTGAAATTCTATGCAGGAAATCATATGAGAATTGACATGGATTTTCAAGTCGTATACAATGAATGCAAACTCCTATATGAATTCCTATAAAAAATCCTGTGCCAATTTCATATGTGAAAATCCTATATAGGAATTTTCAGTAGGGGAAAGTATTTTTAATGAAACTGTTCAAAAATTGCAATTAAATTTCTTTAAAATTTCTTCCACGTGATATTATTCCTCATGGTCTGACAAAACAATTATATTAATTATGTTTACAAAAAAAATTTCTTATTCGTTAAAAAACTTTGCAAATAAACAAGTACGAATACGACAGTAGTCGGCCACCTGAAGCAATCTTTTTAATTAACACTGTTTAAAAAGTGTAATTCATATTTTTTCAAATTCTTTCAGGTGATGTTGAGCTTTACAATCACACAGAATTATTAAATCAATCATGTTTATGAGAAAGAAATGTCTATTCGATAAAAAAATTATTAAATAAACAAGTAAGAATGCGACAGTAATCGACCACTTAGAAATGCTTTCAAAAACCGTACAAATTTTTTTTTTCATTTACAAAGGTTTAGATTTGCTTATAATGACTTTAGAAATGATTAGAAAAAAACAAATTATTTTCATCTCATATGGTTTTATAGCTATTCCAAATTTAAAAGTGATCGACTATTGTCTGGTTTACGCTACAATAAATGTTAGTTCGACAGTTTCGTATACTTTGAGAAAGCGATGCATATCTTCTGAAAAAATGTTTTTTTGGAGAAATCAATGACATATTTATAATGATTATTGCGCATTATTTGTTTTACTTCTCATTCTTTTAAAGGCGCGTTTCAAATTTTTGTCGAGAATTAATTCAAAAGAATAGTTTTTTCTAATTTTCTTACTTTACCGTAAAATAAGATGGCGTCATAAAGCTTTGTAACGTGGCGTTACAAATCTTCCCGCGTTTGCTTCGAATCAGGCGATTGAACCCGGAAACGCCCGAAGGGCATCGAGGGTGTCAATCGCCGGATTGGCAAGTAGACGCGACACTTGTTGCTTTGCTCTGTTTGAGGAAAAACCTCTCTATACCTCGTTGTGACAGTTTTCGCCGTTATCATTGTGTGACCATATTCCCAGGTGGAAATAAGACAACGGATAAGTAAGCTAATAAACATTTGTTATTTTAAAGTATTGTTGTCTTCCACTTTACTCTCCTTCCTCCCCTTTTCCCCTTAATTATAATTGGAGATCTGGGCCTCCAGTTATAGCTTACTTAAAAGAATTCAACTTTTCAATTGTTTTCGATTCTCCCCTTCTTACCGGGATAGTGCGCAAATGCCTGGTTGAAGTAGGTGATTTTAGAGAGCGTAGATTGAGTTATAGAATTAGGAGGTTCAATTGCTGTTTAATCTCTCTAAATAATGTACTTATGGGAACGTTCATAAACTACGTAGACCAATCTTTTGAAAATTCGAACCCCCCCTCCCCCACGTAGACTCAATTACATGTATTAGCGCTATTTTTTCGTCTTATGGTAGACAATTGCTTGACCCCTCCTCCCCCTAGACGGGGGAGTTTATGACGGGGAACGTTTATGAACGTTCCCTATCTGTAATAAGTTTTTAATGTAGAATATCTCTCAATTACTTACTTAACGAAATTAGTATTAAGTTATCTTGTTCTAATCTCCATGGCTTAAGGACATCAACATATAACTGAATATTGTTAACAACTATATTAGAATTCAGGTTTATGTCAATGCTGAATTCCACATTACTGTCATCATTTCTCATTGTAACTGTTGAAACTTTCTTGGTAGCAGCATCATGTTTTTTATCAAGATTCAGCTGTAAACAACTATCAAAAGATGCACTAATATTTTTACTACTGCCTGAAATGAAAAACATTAATTTAAATACGAAGGTCAGAATTGTTTGTGTGCCTAATGTGACCTGCTTGGTAGGGGAACGGTCAAACTGCAGATTACTTGCCTGGGATTGTCCACACTATAAGAAATAATTCGTCGGAACTGACATAATGATAAAAATGAAAAAGAAGCACCATGACATTTTCTCTATTCTTATTGTCTATTGTCATTTTTGTATATCTCAACATAGTATTTTTATATTTTATATAACAGTAAAAATTTAACTTTTTAATAGAGCTGTGCAAAATAATTCGAACCGAACCGAACTGTTCAAATTTTTTCGCCTAGTTCGAATATTTAATTGTTATGCAGACGATTTAAAATTATATCTATTGACTGAGCACTTGACCTTCAAGATGTCTTGGAAAATTTAAATGGTTGGTCAACTATTAATAAACTTAATTAAATTTAGAGAAATGTGAAACAATTACTTTTGCAAAAAGGAAAACTCTTCATTTTTACTACAATATTAATATGGTATCGTTTTCCGTAAACTACATGAAGTGAATGATTTGGGTATAGTTTTACACAGTACTCTCACACATATATCAATCTTATAAACAATATTGTAAAAAATGCCGTTATAACTTTAAGTATGATAATGATAGTAGGTTCTAAATTTCATAACCTTCGTGTATTGAAAGGACACTTTCAGTATACTTTGCTTTTGTTCGACCTATCCTTGAATCCGCCTTTGTGATCTGGTCATCTGAATACTAAGTCCATAAAATTAGGATTAAAAGAGTGCAGAATGTTTTTCTTAGATTTGCGGCTAGACATTTTTTTTGTATAAGAACTGCGGATTTTATTTTTGTATAAAATTTTAAATGTCAAGAGAATGTAATCCTTAAAATCGTAACAACTTTAAAAAAACAAGATCGGCATTATTTGTTATATATTAGTTGCATAGAGAGAACAATGTTTTTCTAAATGAAACATGGATTGACAACGAAAATAAAATAATATCTTACTGCAATGAGCAAGTCTTATTTTAGCCCGAAGGGCGGACAGATTTTCTATATTATAGGTTGTATACATTTCAACTGTTTGCAGTTTAGTGTATGCAGTTTATTTGTGTGCAAATTGTAGGTACTACTCCGATCACCATATCCTAAAATATAAAAACACTACGTTTAGATACATGAAAAATGACAACAGACAATAATTGAGTCCACAATAGACAACTATTCCTTACGCAATTGATATTTTCTACATTGACGATAGGTTTCTGTGTATTGTTTCCTTATTATCAGCTCTGCAGAGAATATGCATTAATCAAGATGAATTTGTACACCCTGATGCTTCAATGCCTTCTTTCCGGTTTTGACGCCGTTTTAAAAAGTCGTGACATATCTATCTAAATTTAGTTACTTCGTGACGTATGAAAGAACTTATACGTCATGAACTAACAATATTTTTATAGATGTGTCACGACTTTTTAAATGCGGTCAAAACCGGAAAGATGGCATTAAAGCATAAGGGTGTATATGATGGACTCAACTTTACGTTTACCGCTCCTGACCAGGTCTCGCTTGACGCCTTTTTGGCGTTACACGATTGAAGTGGTTAATACCAAATTTTACCAAATAACACAAGCGCCTTTGTCTTTGTCTAACATGACAATATTACAAATTCTTACGACATGAAAACTCCTACAAACAAGCAGCAGCAGAGCCGTGAGAGTACTTTTAGGAGATCATAATAAGCTTAAATAGTTACATAAGAAAATAAGATGAAAATTTTACATACCATGAACAAGAGAATTTTTAATTTCTGTTCGCAAATGCAGTAGTTGTTTCTCTGCATCGACATAATTGTACCGCTTACGGTTAATAGATGGAGCAATATTAAGTGATGGATGAGATCCTAAGTATCCTATTTCTAAATTTCCATCTTCTGATAACATTACTATAAGACCATTAATTTCCTAAAATATTTTTATATTTAAGTATTTTCAAAATAATCATACATTTATTTAAATAAAATGTAGTGGTGTGCAAAAAGCTCGAAGCTCGATCGAGCTTTTTCGAGATTTTCATTTTTCGAGCCGAGCCTAATAAGTTCGAGCTCGAGCCGAGCTGTGTAAAAAGCTCGAATAATTTTGAGTACCCGTATATTTCGAGTAATCGATTTATTTTGAGTATTCGAATTTTTTCAAGCTCATGCGAATAAACTCGAGTTCTAGGGAAAATTCCTATAATTTTCGCATGTATTGTAATTAGCAAATTGAATTAAACTTTGAAATTGAAGACTTAGGGTGATGTGGGGTGATGTGAAACATGGGGGGATGTGCAACACCGCCGATTTCTGATCTACAGTTCGATATTGAACAGAGCCAAGTATTGCCATTTGTTTGTGTCCTCAGTAGCTTGTATTCTATATAAAACTCACGAGATAGCTCGCAGCTAGGTTTGCTGTACGTAAGTTGACTTAAATTTCTCGAGAAGGAAATATTTCTCGCGCTTTACATTTCTAGTCGTTTCGTGAAGGGTTTTAATTTATTTTATAGATAAGAATGTGTTTATTGTTGGTTTTTTAAGTGTTTTTAAATATCTGTTTATATTTTGTGTTTCCATTGCATTGTATTGCGTACAAATCATTTTTCGCAAAATATTATATTTGGGGTGATGTGCAACACTTTTTTTTGGGGTGGACGTAACTACTCTTTACGTGCCATAACTGCGATTCACATGATGAATAAAAAATTCTTAGTTATTTTCCTTTAATTATATTCCTTATTCACACAGTGGTCCTCAAATGCCAAAAAGTTTCATAAAAATGTCAAAGAAAACTGCTAATGCCATCTTATTCTAATCATCTCACACTTCTAAACCTATTTTTGTTCGAAATCCTACTTGTTCGCATTTTCAAAATAACCAAAAAACAGTTTCAAATCATTTTTAGAAATTTAGTTCATATTTGAATTTAATACAAAAAAAGAAAATTCGAATGTCAATTACTTTTAAGTTTAATAAAATTGTAAATTTCACCGTAAGAGTGATATTAAGGAAATGGCTATTTGACTTTTTTAACTTTTAAAATGATAAACATAGGTATTTATATTTATTGTAAAAACATTAACCAATTTTAACGCCGGGACGGACGCTTTTTCAATCATTTTCAACGTTAATTATTTTTGTTATTAGGCAATTAGAAAATTATCGGAATAACATTTTCTTACGTATTTTTTATCGCTCTTCCAGAATCTGTCATCAAAATTGCAAAAAACAAAAATTCCAAAAAGTTATGGCCGCTTATTTCGAAAAAATGCAAATTTTTGACATTTTTGATTGAAAAATGATTTTTTTTTATGTAACCAGTAACCAGAATAATTCTTCACCATAAAATATCGCGTCCACAATATCCAAGCTTCAAAGTGATGGACCATACATTTAAAAATTTCAAGATGGCGAATCCAAAATGGCGAAAAAAGAAATTTTTTTCACATAGTTGACACCCTGTGAACGCTTTTTTAATTCTCCTTTTGTCTGTATGAAAAAGAGTACCTGAATGTTTTTTGGGTCGCTGATTACGAATATGAACTCAGATTTCAAAAATTCAAAATGGCGGATCCAATATGGCGGCTATTTTTCTAAAACTTATCGGATTCGCATGAAACTTGTTAATGGCGGTTTTTGGAGTCGCTGATAACAAATATCAAGTCAAATTTCAAAAATTCAAAATGGCGGATTCAATATGGCGGTCGATATTTTTGAAATTGATCGGTTTTATTTGAAAACTGCTACTCGGGAGGTTTTTGGGGTCGCTAGTTACGAATCTGAAATCAGATTTTAAAAATTCAAAATACCGAATCCAAAATGGCGGTCTTAATTTTAAAGAATGATTAGAATGGTTTAAAATTTTATGTTTTTTAGCCATTGAAATTATTTAATGTTGTCCGACTCAAACCACGAGGAGGTAAACGTACATCCTCGTGTATTGATAGAGACAATGCATTCTGCTAAATGAATTAAATAAGAAATTATATAGTTTCTAAAGGAAATGAAATTTAATGTTGCTGTAAAACAAATGACCCTCGTGGTTTGAGTCGGACAACATTAAAATATTTTCAATAGCTAAAGAACGTATTAAATTTTAAACCAATCTAATCGTTTTCTGAAATTTTGATCGCCATATTGGATTCGGTATTTTGAACGTTTGAAATTTGACTTCATATTCGTTTTCAGCGACCTAAAAACCCTCAAGTAACAAGTTTCATGCAAATCCGATAAGTTTTAAAAAGATAGCCGCCATATTGGATCCGCCATTTTGAATTTTTGAAATCTGAGTTCATATTCGTAATCAGCGACCCAAAAAACATTCAGGTACTCCTTTTCATATAGATAAAAGGAGAATTAAAAAAACGTCCACAGGGTGTCAATTATGTGAAAAAAATTCTTTTTTCTCCATTTTGGATCCGCCATCTTGAAATTTTTAAATGTATGGTCCATCACTTTGAAGCTTGGATATTGTGGACGCGATATTTTATTGTGAAGAATTTTTCTGGTTACTGGTTACATGAAAAAAAATCATTTTTGAATCAAAAATGTCAATAACATTTTAAATGCCATAACATTTTGGAATTTTTGTTGTTTGCAATTTTGATGACAAATTCTGAAAGAGCGATAAAAAATACGTAAGAAAATGTTATTCCGATAATTTTCTAATTGCCTAATAACAAAAATAATTAACGTTGAAAATGATTGAAAAAAGCGTCCGTCCCGGCGTTAAAGGGTTAATGTTTTTACAATAAATATAAATACCTATGTTTATGATTTGAGAAGTCAAAAAAGTAAAATAGCCATTTCCTTAATATCACTCTTACGGTGAAATTTACAATTTTATTAAACTTAAAAGTAATTGACATTCGAATTTTCTTTTTTTGTATTAAATTCAAATATGAACTAAATTTCTAAAAATGATTTGAAACTGTTTTTTGGTTATTTTGAAAATGCGAACAAGTAGGATTTCGAACAAAAATAGGTTTAGAAGTGTGAGATGATTAGAATAAGATGGCATTAGCAGTTTTCTTTGACATTTTTATGAAACTTTTTGGCATTTGAGGACCACTGTGTTCAGTTATGAATAAATAAAAAATTAAACAAAAAAATTTCTTTTTTTTCTTTGGTGAAATCTTCACTTTTTAGAGGTCAACTATACCTTAATAAATTTTTTTTTGGCAGATTTTGATTAGTTTGAATTGAAAAAGCCTAAAATTAATAAATAAAGAAATTTTCATCGACATTTATGCCTTACATACCTTAATTTCTGGTGTTGCACATCACCCCAACTTTTTTGGAAAATACAAAAACAGACGTTTTTGAAAAAGTGAAAAATTTGTAGGATAAATTTAAAATTCTGAAAATCTAATAATGCAGAAATATTCTATTATAATGCCTTAAAAATTTAATTATTTGACATGTTTTTTGTCCAAAGAAAAAAAACGTTGCACATCACCCTAGGTATTTACTTTATTCATTCAGTAATTCGCATAAATTCGAAATTTTCTGCTTAATAATAGTTTTTTTAGAGTACTCGATTTCTCTCGAGTACTGGAAAATTTCAAGTGCTCCAATTGAATCAAGTACATGAATTCACTCGAGTGCTCGAATTTACCCGAGTACAGAGTATCAATAGTAATTTGAGGATTTCCTCGTGAAAAGGGCCCAATTTTCTAATCCAATAGTGCCAAAATGGGCCCTTTTCATGTGGACGTCCACATATGTTCTTGAGAGTGTTAATAAATTTTCAACAAAATATTTAATGGAAGAAACTGTAATTTATTACCTGTGACCGAACGATTGACACAGCTGCAGGTGTAAACGCTACCTCGGCAGACCACTTTAATGATAAGTTTTCATAAACTTTTACTGTCTTGGTATCCGTTACTAGCATTAAAAGTAATTTTCCATCAGGTTCTAAAATATAAGCGATTTCATTTTTATTATTTACAAAAAGGAACGGTTTATGACAAACAAACTTCTGAGTTCTGACCCTGGATTCGGATTCAGCGACACAAAATATGTAAAACAAGTTGTAAATCCAGATGTTCATTACATTAATATTTTGCTTCCTCGCAGAGGAAGTATATTTAATTTTTAAGTAATTTTCTATACAATCTAACATTTAAAAAACAAAGATCATTCGTCTTAATGGAAAGAATAGAATTTTATTATTATATGATTTTAAATAAACAAAAACATTTTTAGTAAAAAAGTTAATTTTTCAACTTTAATTGTAATTAAATCTACACAGAGGGAAATTTATAGTATTGGGTAACATAATTGTGGTTAGGGTGACCATCTTTAATGCTACAAATACGGACAGCTATCTAGATAGTCACCGTTATCATCAATATCATCAGGAGTAACATCTTGGTAATACGGGGTAGCATAACTATATTTTTTTACCATCTGTGATGGTTGGTAGTAGCATAATGATAGTATCGTGTAACATCATCTTTTTAACATCAAAATCTGACTATCCATTTCTCTCAGTGTATAAATTCCAATATAATATATCTATAGGTACTTTATATACATCAATCGATTCGTCTTGATGCAAAGAATAAGTTTTTTGATTCGTTTTTAAATAAAGAATAATATTTTTTTCACAACAACATAATTTTGATAAGTAAAAAAAAGTTTCTGAGGATTTTTTTAAGTCCGTTAATTTGTTGAAACCTCTTCAAGTTATCGTGTTCACAAAAACGGAATCTACACACACATACATACAGGGTCTTATAAAACACATTCCTATATATAGAAGAAAATTTGTTTAAAGCTTTTTTTAAAATTTTATAAATTAAACGACTACAAAGCTTCCTCCACAAGGGAGAAAAACGACTATTCTAGTTCGACAAACAGAACAATTTTTTTAGCTATGTATGTTATAAAATTCTCATGAAATTAGACTTGGTTACACTTTTGTATCCATTTTTAATCATTTTTTATTTTTAAAATACTCAGATAAATAATCTTGCGTGTCGAACATAAATACGTAAGTGTTCAAACTTGGTTAGGGAGATGCAGCTTATAAATATGTAAAACATTTATCAATTATTGTGCGAGTTTGTATTAATAACACCTTTACCCTTGGGCGGCAAAGCTGAAATCATTAAGCAAGAGGGCAAGCTTACGTGGAAAAGGGTCCATTGGACCCTAATAAAATTTAGATGCTTCTGTGAATTAAAAACGTAGATTTTTGTATATATTTGGTTTTCTTTTTTTATCTTATGAATTTAAATGCATTGAAGTATAAAAAAATTATTGAGATTTTAAATTTAATAAACAGCAAGCGGTCAATTAAAAAAATTATGATTTTGATTTTCTAAACATTGACTTTAAAAGGACACCATTTTCGTTTTTTAAAATTATTTTTTAACATCATCATACATATACGTCCACTAGGTATTAATGTATACAAAAAAATAAATTTTCTTTTTTTAGACTGTCAGGAGCGGCTCTATAGAGGGCACCGCAAACTCTTAAAAATTTCAGACATCCATTTGAGACGCCCTCTACGAATCGTAAATAACAGTTGAAAAACGAAACAATTTTTTCTTTTCTTAGTTTTAATATTGTACTTTAAAGTGCGAAAAACGTTTTCAATCATTCAAATTAAATTACTGCGAAAAAAACAATAAAGTGGGGCCTATTTTTTGCCTTCGCAAACGCAAGTAAGCCTGGATTCTTTTGAGCCAGTGAAATTAATAAACATTTCATATGAGATTTGTAATTTTTGTTTTTCTTTGACCGTATTAATTAATTTGTTGAGTAATAAGAAGGCCTAGATACGGTTTGTTTTTTTTCAAAAAGAAATTTATTAAAATCCCAACTAGTTTCGAACAATAATTAATTATTGAACAGATATTGACAATTTACATAAAATATATTACAATTTAATTACATCTTTTAAAACATAATTTAAATAAGTCTAATAACATAGATATCTACTTTATCAACTATACCTGCACCCTATTATCAACCCAACCTTTCTGTCAAAACTCTCTCAAAATAGAAGCACATTTTCAATTAAAAATGTGCTTCTACAAAATCTTTAAAATTAATTAATTTAAAAAAGATTTAATTATGAGAAACTATTTAAGTTTCTCTAATGATAAACAAAAAAAATTTTTTATTTTATATTTATAATGTTCTTTTAAAAGGTAAGAAGCTTTTATTTTCATAAATGAAAACTTAACCTATAAATTCAATTTAAAATTGAAACAACTTTTCATTTTGTTTTTTTCTTTCAGATCATTTAGTTTAGTCCTTTTTGAAATCTTATAAACTATGTCCGATGTTTGGATGATAAAATGTTTATAAAATTGTTCATCCCCTGATGAGGAACTATATAGTTCGAAACTAGTTGGGATTTTAATAAATTTCTTTAAAAAAAAAAACAAACCGTATCTAGGCCTTCTTATTACTCAACAAATTTCATATGAGAGGTTGAAAATCCAACTAGAATTGAATCCACTAAATTCTTAACTTATATGTCCGTCATAGGGTAAATGCTCCAATCGTTGGCACTGCTCTAGTGATTAGCATCCTCCTTGGAGTTTCTTTAAATAACAAGATATAGCAAAAATCTAGCATGTTTTGCATACGATTATTAAATTTTTAAAACATTTTTTACAAAAATCTAGTATAGAAGAAATTTTCGGTTTTTCTAAAGAAAATCTTAGGAAAACTGAAATATTTAAACTTAATTTACTATTATTAGAAGTTGGTAAATTTGCTTTTTTCTTTGCAAATATATTAGTAGAATATTTTAATATTGATTAGTTTAACACGTCTTGTCTTAAAAATTATTAATCCATTTATTTCAATTGGGTGCCAATAAAAATATTTCAAAAAGGAACTATTCCAATCGTTGGCACACACATGCCAAACACTGGACAAGCATTATTTTTAACCTAACAGCTCCAGTAGTTGACACCCCTTACTTCGCAATGAAAAGTGAGTTTATGTAACAATGTTAACGTCTACACTGTAAAAATTTTAAACAAATTTCACAGATTAAATGTGACACATTTTACAGATAAGGGAAAAAGTATCGCATTTAATGTGACAACATAACCTTTTTTTATGCGTCACTTTTCCCCTTATCTGTAAAATGTGCCATATTTAATCTATGTGTAATTTTCTTAGGATTTTTACAATGTAGTCAATAATTTCAGTCTCTTTGAAAAATTATGTAGGGGAGAGGGTCCCAAGATGGACACGTCTTCGATTGATGGCTCTAAAATCTAAACCGAATAAGATATGTTAACATTTTTTATACTAAATGAAAGTACAATTTATTAGGTAACTTATGGCCATTGAGATAAAATTTTATTTTCAACTTAAACATTTTTTATAGCATTTTTTCTAATTGTTAAAATTTTTAACCAAAAAAAAAGTGGCCCCAAAATGGACACCTTCTTAAAAATCACTTTAAAGTGTGGTAAATTAAAGATAAACATCCTGTATTAATTTTTAAACTAATGTTTAATCATTTTATTCTATTTACTAGGAATAACATTATTAAAAATCTTAATTTTATAACTTGAGAATAAAAAAATAACATATTTAACTTTAATTTGACAAGTTAAGAGTAACAAAGTAATAAAATCTGCAATTCTAAGCAGAATCGTCCTAGTCAAAATTCGGACATTCGTAACGATATTAAACGAGTTTAATTTTATTTCTTGACAATAAATAAAAATAAATACATTGAAATGTGGTGTCCATCTTAGAGTCTCGAAAGTGTCCATCTTAGGGTAAATAATGACACCATTTTTTGAAACCCAGAAAAAAATTGTATACAAACAAGATATTAATAAAATCATTTTAGAATATTATTATATGATAAATAAATAATATTATAACGATAAATACCGATCTAAAATCAAAAATTTAAATAACTTTATTAACTTGAGAAAAATCGGAAATAAAACTTTTTTTGACAAAAAATTCAGGTGATATGCGCAGTTGAAAAAAAACTGGTTTTATTTTTCAAATTGTTACGGCCGAACTCCGTAACTTTTATATTATAAATGATTATTTATAATACTTTAAAAACCAAATTACACACAACACAATATTTTGTTAACACGTCATAAAACGCTTACACAAAATAACCCTATGTAATCTCACAAAAGGACATTCCCTCTTTTGAATATTTTAATCCAGGGCATTTTTAATGACATAGAAATTCTAATTCTATATAAATATAAGATTTAATTGAATTTAACATTCCTTTAGGTTTCGCAATTTCGAGGTGAAAAACCTGACAATATAGTAAAGTGTTTCTTAATGAATTCCTTTTTCTTGAAAAACAGTTTAATGACCCTTTTAAAAATTAGTTAGAAAATATCAAAGTTAAATTGCTCAATATAAGGAGTGGTGCATCCAAGTCACTGAACTCGGATCACACCACTGCTTGAATCTGCAAGGTTGCAGAAATTGACTTGACAACAGTCGAGTACAATGAACTTAACATACGATTTTTTTGTCTTTCAATAAAATTGATTGACACTGGGAAATCTGGGCAGTTTAAGCCAGGCCGTTGTAGCCGGCAGTTAGCCCGGGCAGTTTAGGCCCGCAGTTTTAGTCCAGGTCGTAGTCACCTGAAGTTGTAGCTGGCAGTTTTGGGCCAGGCATTTTCTAAGTCCGGCAATTAGCCGTGTTAATCGTATTGAAAGTCTAACGGTTGAATAAAAAGTTTGTTTAAAGAAAGTGAATTTAGCTGAGAATAAAAGAAAATAAATAAAGAGTAAACAAAGGTTGATTTTTAAAAGAATATATCGAAATAAAGAATACAATAAAGTGACAAGTGAAAAAAATAATTAAAAAAAGTAAAGAATTAAAAGATATTGAAAAATAAAGTGAAAAAAAAATAAAAATAAAGAATTTGTAAAAGAGCTAAAGATTAAAAGAAAGAATTGAAATAGTATTAATGAAATAAAGCGAATTTAAAAAAAGCATAAACGTAAAGAATTAAAAGAGTGTATTTAAAAAATCTAGCATCAGCAGAAATAAACCAAGCATATCTTAAAAAGAATATTGATTTTTGAAATACTTTTAAAGACAGCCTTTATTTACGGGGTTTGAGTCTTCAAATTTGCGCGAGCCGAGGAATATTATATTGGAAAACGAAATATCAATCTAGTGAACCTAGATCAGGTATTTCCTCGTTTTTTTTTAAATAAACAACCTAAATTCTGTAATACTAAAAGAACAGAATAAGTCATTGGAATAACATTTCAAAGGATTGAATTACCAGACAGTGAGTATAGAAATCTTACTAATCACTACACACACACATACTATTCTTTCATACACAAGTATATAATTACTCTTTACTCACACCAATTTAGAATTACTTGTATTAGGGATTTCTTTGGGTAAAATATATCTTATTTGTTTAATCTTATTTTTGCTTATAATTTAATTATTCCTAAAACTATCCTATCTACTCTAAATTCAAGGAGTAGGGTTCTCAACCTCTTAGTTGAATCAATAACTAAGTAGAAGGGGAATCCACTACCTATACGATTTTCGTCCGAAGGACACGTTAGTTGAAGTTTTTAAAAATTAATATTTCTAAATTAAATAAATTTCTAAAATCCTACTTTAACACAAATATACATAAAAATCTTCGTCTATACAAACAACACAAATAAAAAATTTGAGAAGATGCTGTCACTTTAAACAAAAATTTTATAGGAAATGTCCATCTTGGGGCCCTCTCCCCTACATTTATTATTGAATTATATATATTAAGTATATTTTCTTGTATTTGTTTATTACTTAAAATTATAATTATTTATTCTTGATTAATCAGAAAATAAAAAATTGTTTAATTTACTTGTTTGAAATATAAGGAATTTAAAGGTTATGTATGGGGTGTCAACCACTGGAAACTGGTGGGTGCCAACGACTAGTGCTTACAGTGCCTACGACTGGGAATTTGTGTCATTATTAGATAATTATTGTTTAATTATGTTATTAATTATTGTTCATTATTAGATAATTTAAAAGTTTCAGTTTATTTTTATTCAAAATTGATCATTTTATTGTATTCTGCATCAAATTCTGAATACATACATTACTATAAGTATTATATTATAATATTAGTTTTTATCTGTTAAAATAACTCTTAAAGTCAAAATTTGGCCTTAAGGGTGCCAACGACTGAAGCAGTTACCCCATCGGAATGTAAAAGCTGAAAAAGCAGTCAATGAAAATCTTATTTAAACTTTAAGGGGGAGTGACACCTTTGACCCGAAAAAAATCGAATTTTTTTTTGCTTATAAACGATACTTTATAATATGTAGAATAGAAATTATATCATTAGAGGTGATTTCGAAGTTATTTTATGTGAAAAAAATCAAAATTTTCAAAAGGTGTCCAAGAGCGCTTTAACTGCTTTCAAAACTTTAAACGCGTTTTTCTCGAAATGACGTTTTTCAAAACGGTGGGCAGTCTAGCTAGAACAGTTTTGATCGGATTGATATCGGACAAAGTTTTTTTTATCATCATTTACTAATGCTTTCGAATACGTAGCGGATTTTTTTTTGTTTCTTTGTTTTTTTAGCAACAGATTTTTAGACAAATTTTCGCCCTAAAAATCGACTTTTTACTTCAAACAACTGCCAAATACACCAAAATTAATATTTTTAAAATATCCTACGTACTCGAAAGCTAAATCTATCTCAGATTCAGACAAACTTTGATTTTTTGATTTAGATTAAACGGTCTAACCGGAATCTTGCCCACCGATTTGCTCTGCAGAGAAAGGAGACCAACTTCTGCGCCCTCTATAGACAACAAATTTAAACTTTTTTTTACGTATAAATATATTTTTGTAAACTTAAAAAGTTAACAAATAAATCCCTTAAAACCAAATTTTGTTTACTTTATTCCCGTGACTTAAAAATATTCATGAAAAACAGGTTCAAAAGAGGACTCAAAGGTGTCACTCCTCCTTAATAAATAACAACAATTATTTGCTTAAACAATTCAATTGCAAACTTTGAAAGAGGCTTAACCATATAAAACATAAAAATGGTATAATTAGCTTACCTACAATATAAGTATGTATGCAGAGTACGTTAAATGATATTCGCTTTGCCTGCTTTAAAGATAAATTTACATCGTGAAAGATGTATAATCCTTTTTCACTTACAATGACAATTCCAGTAGCAATTGAACTAAGCTTAACACAATTTACAGCTAATAATGTTTCTCCTAAATTGTACTTGTAGTCCGGCTCTATTAATTTTGCACTTTTAGCTTTCTGATTTAAATTTTTTCCAAATTCTACAATGTTTTGGTATCTATAACAAATTTTTTACATTTAATATGACATACATACAAGTAGACCAGTATTCATGCGATGCGTGATCGGGTTTCCACCCCACTATATAATATACTTTCAAATTGTGAAAACAAGTCCGTTCTTCCTTCATTCTTTTTTTTGACATTGATATAAAAAAGTTTCTCTTTTGTACCTGTTTTGGTCAGATAAAGTAGCAGCTTTTGATTACTCCAATGTAAAGACTTTATAAGGCATAATTTACTGCCGCATAGTATAAAGTCTATATTTGTCAGTAAACTACCGCATAAAGATTTTATAAGTCAGTTTACCACTTATCATTCTAGAAATAATTTCAAATCTATCATAATTTCGTTTTCTTTTAAAATGCTTCACTTTTTCATATTAAGGGCAAAAAATAGCATTCAGGTGAAATATAATAGATTGACTTTTATACATATTTTATATTTTTTAAATAAAAATAACATGTTGAATATCTATTTCCTCTAACAATAGAGGGTATGGTAAGTAAAAATACTATCACATAATGTCCTTTGAAGAGTAAAACAAATTTTTCTTCTCATTTTGCTCTGTTGCACTGAAAAAAATGCCTAGGATCCGTATACCAGGAATTGACTAGGGTTTCCTAGTTACGAGAGGAACCCACTATAGAATCCTAGTCAAAGTAATAAAATTCAAGCATAGTTAAAGTGACCAGGAAAATTAGTCGATGTAACCAGGAAAAATAGTCAAATTGACTAGGATAATATTATTAGATTTAGACCGGGTCCCAGGGGGAAATTTCCCACTGGCAGGGTACCGCGCCAGTACAAACGTCGGTAAGACTGTACTGGCATGGGTCCGCCTGACGACCGGATCGGTGCAAACATTGTACTGGAACCTGACAATGTGTTGTAGTGGCTGCGCGCCTGGCTCGGTACAGATTTAATACCGCCAAACATCCGGCGTTGTACCGGCATTCGTCCGTCTGGCAACCAGGACGGGCCAAATTTTGTTCCGAAAGATGACTTTCTACTGGCATTCGTCCGCCTAGCAAGCGACGCGGGCCAAATTATATTCTCTATTGAAAAATAAAATAAAAAAAATATTTAATTAACTATGCATGGTGCATGTTAATTAACATTTATTTATAGATCATTTGAAGCATTTTTACACATTTTACATTTTTTTCACACATTAAAATTCTAAACGCTCGCAGTGGGATACGAAGCCCAAGCCTATCCTAATCTACGCACCGAAGTCTAATACGCTAACCACTACGCTATTCGCTCGCTTGCGGATGTGAGCATAACAAAACCCATATACAGTACCGCTAGGGAGCAAACAATTTTAGCAACTTATGTACAACAATAAATAATAATTTAAAAACAAATTGAATATTTTAGCATTTTATGAATATTATGTAAATAAATCTAGTGTTTTATATTTATAAATAATTAGTTGTATACTTTATTTACAATTAAAATTTTTTTTTGCAATTATATTCAAAATAATTTTTTTTAATTTGTTTAACTTTCATTAAGGAAAAATTAATATAATTTACCAAATATTTTTTGATCAAATTTATTTATAAACCGTAAATTTTAAAACATTAAGATTTTTTAAACATTAAGATTATTATTAATTATTTTTAAGTTTAAATAATTGAGTGTAATTGAAAATATTTCATTAAAATAATCTGTTATCGGAATTTCCTTATATTTTTCCAGGTGAATTTCTATAATTATTATAGAAACTTGAATATAACAAAAAAATTAAGTCTTTAATATTTATTAATTATTATCAATTAATAAATAAATAATAAATATTATTAAAATTATAATTATAACCTATTTTTCAAATTCATTCATTTTTACAATTAAATTTTATATTCTTGCATTATTAATTCCTTTTTTAGTATTTAAACTTCAAAAAATTCTCCTATACAAAAGTTTTTACAACGTAAAGGATTTAAAATTTTTATTACTTTAATTATTATCTTATCCATTTTATTTCATCAATTTTTATTGGAAACAATAAAAATATAGCTAAATTTTCACTTTGTAAAAAATCTATTTTAGAAGATTATAAATAGTGTGTTGATTAAAAAAATAATTATCCTATGAAAAGCATTAAATTGTTTTGAAAGAATAGATAACAATAACCATATTCTTAGCTTATTATTATTAATTAAAATCTTATTAATAATAATATAAATTATTTAGTTCTCAGTCGGTAGAATGCCTGTACCGCTCGGGTCGTTAGACGGACGAGCGCCAGTACAACTCCGGTTGCTAGTTGGTATAAATTTTGATCCGGCGTCGGATCAAATCTTGTACCGCGCCTGTAGTGCCGACAGTAGAAAGAGTGTACCGAAAGTCGCATCCGACTTTGTACCGCGCCAGCAAAAATTCTCATCCGAATCGGTACAAACTGCCTGTACTGGCATTGACTCTCCAATTCTACCGGCGCGGACGCTAGACGGTTGGACGATCCGGCATTCGCCCGACTTTTCCCCCTGGGGTATTATAATTATTTTAAATTCTTAATCGAATGCTTATTATCCAGTAAAAGAGAAAAAGTAAATATAATTAAAAAAATAATTAATTATTTTATTAAACATATTTATATATTATTTTACATTTATATACCTTGGAGTTAATTTAAACTTATGAAATAAATATTTGACGCAGGGGGGACGCGAACACCTGAACCTAACGAATACGCACTTTGAAACCCGGAACGCTAACCACTACACTAAACACGACTTTTTTTTTAATTTTTTAATAGACACTAGATTTTCGAGTCAATATACAATACTTAATCAGATGATGTTTTATACATTTCAAGTACAGAATTTTATACACTTGTCAAAAACTATTAATTTTTAATTATTTATGCCATTTAAATGAAAATAAATTTAAATACACAAATTATTGTAAAGGTAAATTTTCAAACACACTGCGCGATTAAAATAGTAAAAATGTTGTCACCACGTGCGTAACAATTTCGACGATTTATATTGAAACCTAACCAAAAAAGTCTGAAAGAATTGACTAATATAATTAAATAGTTTACTTTCTAAAACATGGACTATCTATATTTCCAGAGGTTCCGAGAAACCAGCAATTTTGATATATGTAAAAACTCCATTTTATGTACAAAAAATAGACGCGAGTAATGATAAGCAATTGTTTTACGAAATCACGATAAATGACGCGAAAGATATAGAGGTAAAGCCTGTCAAAACAGAAGCAGACGTATGCGCATTATGGAAATAGGCAAAGTTGACTTGTTCACTAGAACAAATTCTTTGAAAACTTGTTACGGATGGAAGGTTTGGCGTTTTTTTTTGTCTTAATGAAGTAGTACACCATAGATTAAAACTGTATTCCTTCTATGGTCAACTCAGTTGGATTGAGTCAAGTAAAATACCAGAAGAAACACTTATCGTTACATTAATTGTATAATTTCTCAAGTAGCACCTAATACAGTTAATATTAGTGGTAACATTACTGTAATATTACAGTCATATTTACCAGATGGGCTCGAGTCTAATCTCTTGATATTTATATACTTTATTGGACTGATGTACCACATCTTTGCTCCCCATTATGAATCATTATTGGACAGATAGAAAATTTCTCACTGGGCACTTACAAATATAAAATTTTAGAAGAATATTCAATCTTATCTCAATGTGCGTTCCGAGAATTAACTATAATAATCTTCGTATCCGGATTTCACGATCTCTGTCCACACCTGAAGTTGGACTTTTGTGGATTCTTTTGTTTTATTTCTAGGTTTGAGATTTCTTTTGTATACATTTTGCACAATATATTTTCGAGGTTATTGGAAATCAAAATTTATCGCAAGAATTCAAATACTTTGAAAAGTAATAAAATACTTTGCAGAAATTAAATTATTTGCAAATTTTTTAAAAAAATTTCTACAATTAAATTATCTTTATAAATAGATAACGAAATTCTTCTAAAGCATTCAATTATTTCCAAAAATTTTAATAAAATTATTTAAAAAGTATTAAATTATTTTCAAAAGTGGTTATAAAATTCTTTGATGTCATCAATTTCAGTAAAACTTTAATTAAATTTCTTAAAAGAAATTAATTTTTTTCAAAATAAAATTCTTCGTAAAAATTAAATTTTAAGAAACATTCAATTATTGAACAATTTATTTATTTTTGTAATTAATAATATGTAATTGAATTCTCGTAAAATTTTCTAATAAAAATTTATTTAAAAATAAATTCTTGAAAATAATTTTAGAAAATAATATTGGAATTTAAATGATAAAAATAATTTAGAAAAAATTAGAGTAACAATATTCTTATATAAAATAATAATTTTATCCCTAGGTTATTTTTAATTCTTAAAAAAATAATAAATTGATCACTCCGAGTCAAAGACTTCCTAATATTTAAAATAATATTCATATAAGTTTTTAAATTTCAAAATTATTTTTAAAATCTTAATTCCTACAGAAAAATAATAATAAGTAAATATTTCTTTAAAAATGAAGTTTTTTGTATTTTTGAATAACAGGGTTCCTACAGAATCTGGAAATCATGGAAATGGTATGGAATTTTTAAAAGGCTTCTGGAAATCATGGAAAAGGCCTAGAATATTTAAAAGTTTCTTTTTTGCTGTTTTCCATTTTTTCTCTTGAATAGAAATTCAAATAATAATAAAGCTAAATCCCATAAAAGAGGAGAAAAAATGTTGAATTTTAACAAATTCGGATTTTTGAATTATTGATAATTTTCAATTTTTTACCAAAGGGTGGAGACTATTAAATAAGTAAAGTATTTTCCAAGAGCACAATAATAATGAAGCTAAATGCCATAAAAAAGAGAAAGAATGTTGAATTTTAAGAAATTCGGTTTTTTGAATTTTTGATAATTTTCGATAATTTTAGATTTTTTACCAAAGAGTCGAGACTATTAAATAAGTAAAGTATTTTCCAAAAGCACAAAAACAACGAAGCTAAATCTCATAAAAGAGAGGAAAAACTGTTGAATTTAAAAAAATCGGTTTTTCGAATTTTTGATAAATTTTGATAATTTTAGAATTTTTACCAAAGGGTGGAGACTATTAAATAAGTAAAGTGTTTTTAAAGAGCCCAAAAATATTGAAATTAGATTTAAAATTCCACTGGAATTTCGTAAAAAATTGACCGGGATATCATGGAAAAGGTATGGCGGAACAGTGTTTGGAAGTAACGCGTTACTTTTAACGTCGTTACCGTTTTCGTTACTTATTTTGGGTAACGGTAACGATAACGCGTTATTATTTTAGAAAAGTAACGGTAACGGTAACGAGTTACTTTTTTTTGTAATTTGTAACGAAGAGTCGTTACTTTTATCGTTATTTTTTAAAGGGTATAGCGGAATAAGAATGGAAAATCTGCCTTTGCTCCAAAAAAGTTTAAATTATTACTAAAAGTTGGTACTAATGAGATGAAAATTTCCACCAAATATTTTTTGAAAAAATGCATTTTTACAGGAGTTATGGAGGGGGAAAGCAAAATCAAAAAATTGATTTTTCTCGAAAACGGCTCAACCGATTTTAATTTCAAAAATATGTTTTTTTGTAGAATCAAAAGACGAATTATAAAAAAAATACAAACACTGGTATGGAATTTTAATTTCGGATTTCTGTAGGAATCCTGTAATAATTTTTCAATTAAGAAAATTCGTAAATAAAAGTAATATAGGAATTTTTTGTGTGTACCTATCTAATAATTTTTAGAGTGTATCAGAATATTCTTTATGATCAGGAAAAAAGTCAAAATTCTATCTAGAAATCAGAGAAAGACAAAATTAAATATTTGTGGAAACCCAGTTTTAGCAAGTATTGAAAAATTCAAAATTATTTAAAAATGAAAAATCTTTTATTTTTATTCTCAAAAATTTTAAAATATTATTCGAAATTTGGTTATACAATGCAACTAAAATAATATACCTATTAAGATGGTATTCTGGTCTGTTTTTTCGAGTAGGATAAAAAAGAAAGTTTAACACTTTTAGTATTGACTTTTGTTGCAAATTGTTTATTAATGTTTAAAGAATACAGAAAAAATTAGGAAAAATAATAAAAAATTTTTTAAAGTTATAAACTGGTGAAGTGGGGACTGAAAAAAAGAAAGTGCGAACTGGTTGACACTGTGGAGACTTTTGTAATTCCCTAAAAAAACCCAAAAAATTCTTGATTATTACAGGCTTCGCTATGATCGGTACATTGAAAAAGAGAAAATTTTTTTTTAGCAAAATGGCGACGATTTAGAAAAAAGTTGTGTTTTTTGAGATTTTTGAATTTTTTAAAAATAAAATAAAATATATTTTTCAAAATCCAAAGTTCCGATCATAAAGGGATATACAAAGAACATTTCAGCAAAATTTGAAGTAAATCGGTTGAGTAGATTTTGAGTTATCGTGTCAACCAGAATTTTTTTCAGTTACAAACTTCAACAGTTTATAACTTTTAAAATTTTATGTTATTTTTTTCTGTATTCTTTAAATATTTATAAACAATTTAGAAAAAAATTAATATTAAAAATATTAAACTTTTTTTTTATCCTAATTTTTCAAAAAATTATCATAAAAAATTATTAGGTATACAAGGCATCAGGCTAAAATTAAAACATTTAATTTCTGAATTCTGATTCATGTTCACATCAGAATTAAAGTCATGTTATTTAATGTGATATATTTTTCCATAATAAAATATATCGGATACGTGAATAACATATCTTTAATGGTTTAATACACATATCATAATAAGTTTTTCATTGTGAAATAAGAAATATGATATGCGCGCGTAGCGCGCAAAGTTTGCTAGTAAGTATAATAATAATACCTACTTGTAAAATGATAGTACCCAATCAGAATTTTGCGTAATAAATATGTCGTTTGCTTCCAAATATAATAATGGCTCATGTTGTAAACGGCATTGCAAAATTTGAGTGAAAGAATTAAGATCCTGGTCCAAAAAAAGAAGAGAGCCATCCGCAAATTGAATGCACAGAAGATCTTTATCTGAAACCCTTCCAAATGGTCCAGTTGTCAAAGACATAGAGTTTGATGACAATTGTCGTTCGTATTTAACTTCTAAGCAGTATTTTGCACCTGTAATAAACACGTCTTTGTTTAGATATCCTTAAAAAATTCGGCGACATTATTAAGTTAATAATTAAATCAGAAGACATAAAATTATATTTCCTTCAGTGTCGAATTATTATAATAATACCCGTGTAGAAATTTCCCTAAGTTTCCCTACCAATGGTTGGATTCTAGCTAGAACCACGCCAGAAAATCTAGCCTAGGAAAGCCTGACTAGAACTGGCAAGATTCTTGTGAGGAAATTCGGATTAGAAATATCTCCCTAGATCCCGCTTGGATTCTAGAGAGGAAATTCGTATTGGAAAAAACTGGTAAGGCCCCTGATAAATTCTGGACAGAGATATCGAGTCGATATCTCAATCGCAAACGTTGGGTTAGGAAATCCAATTAATAATATTAATTAATATTTATTAATTATATAGATAAAATAATAAGTTATTTTAATTTTTTAAACAATTTTCTCTCAAAATAGTAAACTGTCGAATTATCGAAATTTTCTCAAGTAGAGTTTAGGATAATTTTATACTTTGTTTTAAAGATAATAATAAATGAATAAGCAAAATAAATTAAAAATAAATTTTATAAGTTACAGGAGTGTTGTTTTCATTTTTTGTTTCAAATAGTTCTAATGTAATTATACATTGTTTGAGTATATAATTTTTTATTAAAAAATAATGTTCATATTGTACACAAATATTTTTCATAATTTATATACAGAGTTAACTAAATTAACTTCTTTAACTATTTTTGAAATGTAACTACAAAAAGATTTTTTTTCCCTTTGTCAACATAAAACATAATTATTAATTAAATAATAAATAAATAATAATAATAATAATAATAATAACAATAATAATAATAATAATAATAATAATAATAATAAATAAATAATAATTAATAATAATTGTTAATTATTGTTATTATTATTATTTATTTATTTATTATTATTATAACATATTTATTTAATTACTGATTAAATATAAATTCCCTGAAATATAAATTTTTTTATTACTTAATATAAGAGAAAAATCTCAAGCACGGTATTTAACTATAGAGTAAGCGGTCAATATTAAAAAGCGGATGTATTACAATGCAGCGCGCCGGTTCCCGTCGATCACGGAAGTTAAGCAACTTTGGTCGCGGTTACTACTTGGATGGGTGACCGCTCGGGGGATATGCCGTATTACCGTGTTTTTCTGACGAAAAAAAATAAATTTGTGTGTGTGTGTGTGTTTTAGCCGTTTAGGGGAAATTTGTTCGATTAAAAAAATAAAAAAATTATAAAGATGTGTATGTGAGTGTGTAAGTTAAAAAAAAAAAATTTATATAGAAGTATTTGTAGCTATGAAAATTAATTATAATATATAAAAAATATGTAAACCTAATTTTCTTTTTTCAATTTATCGTTTGTATATTTTTATTACAATCAGTATATTTTTGTTACAATATTATAGTGTTATTGAAGCAATAGCGACAACTAAAAAAATTTTTGTATCATAAAAATGCCCGGGTGTCATTGATTCAACAGCATTTGTTTCTCCGTGTATTTATTCGAATATTTAATAAACCGAGCGATTGAAGGGAACTAAAAGTGTCCTAGCGGTGGCTTTCTATTTCTGGTAGGGCCATCACAGGGAAATCAAGCTAGAGCCCGATCTTCCATTCCTCGCTATCCGCGAGCGTGACGAAAGGTGCCGGGGCCCGACCAGATTTTCCCTTCCAGAACCCTGCTAGCCGTAGGGAAATACAGCGAGGACCCTATCAGAACCCAACTCAAATTTCTACACGGGATATAAATGTAATTTTTAAATTTATAGATTTTTGGACGCCACTGTAGTACGCATAAATATTCCTGAAATCTTATTTTTCATTGCGCCGCATTTAACATAAATTTAATTTAACAAAAAATTTAGTTGCTATAAATGTCATTTTGACAAAAAATTAATTTTTCACAATTTTTATTTGGGATAAAAATATGGACTAGAACTTTTATATCAAATGATCTTTATTTCAAATGAAATAATAATAAAGTAAAGTAACCGCAAAACAGTACTTTTCTGCACCCCACATAGCACATTATCTTGCTGAAGCTTCCCTTAAGCTTACTCTCTAAATTTTAATTACTAAAAATGTTTACTAATTTGAATTAGTGACTGACTTTTTTCTTTTAAATAAGTAGTAAATTTTACTAACAAATTAATAGAAATTACTGTTTATTAGTAAAATTTACTAATTTAAAAGAAAAAATCAGTCACTAATTCAAATTAGTGCACATTTTTAGTAATTCAAATTTATTTCATAACAAGAACTCACAACAGAAGGTAGACAAAGAGCGTTAAGTGTTTTAATACTATTTTGTACACACATATACATAGATCGGAACATTTTCTAAAAATACGATTTTCGAGTTCCTGAATTTGTAAAACTTCAAAATCGACAAGAAAATCACAATTGAAAATTGTCAATAAAACTAAGCTTCCTATGAAGAAGCAATAGCAAAAAATTTCCATACCTAAACTGGAAGATTCTTCTTTAAAATTAATATCAAATATGGATAACTTATTTGGCATTAAAACAGCTAAATAACATTTTTGTGAACCTCTGAAACATAAAATATTAAAATAAATATGTAACATAGATATATAAAAAGATTGAATATACCGTTATTTTAGAAAGAGGAAAGAGTTTTTTCAAGTAAACGAATTCAGTTTTGTTGAAAGTGTATTATATTTATGTTTCTCTGTAGATAATTATAAGCAAAATTAACTATAAAATAATATTCGTATTTATTCATTCTTTCATTTTTTGTATCCCTCACACTCTGAAGTTAGTCTTTTGTGTACACTGCGTTCGGAAATTATCGGTACAGCTGCGCGTGCACGGCCCAAAAATATACCAATCTTTAAATCACGATTTTTTTGTAAATACAAATGTCAGAATATTAACAATATACCATTTAAAAGCTTATCAAATTCTACGAAAAATGATACATAACTAAAAATTTTAATAATTTATGCAAAGATTTTAGCAATCGACAAATTTGACCAAAAAATTTAAAAAGCAATTTATTTTGGGAATTTTTTAAAAATTATAGAAAAAATTTGAAACTTTTATAGGTGTGATCATTCAAGTTTCAGCTTTAATTTAAGACCAAAAGAGAATAAAAATCTTATTCGGTTCATGAGATATGCCATTTATATTTACAAGAAATATAAATATAACAAATAAGGGAAAAGAGAAGGAAAAGAAAGAAAAAAGGGAAAAAGAAGCAGAATACAATTTGAAAAATTGCATCAGAGAAAGAAATTGTTAAAGTTATCTAGAAAAAATATTGCAATTAAGATAAATTTAATTAAATAAATAATAATTAAATTCACTAATTTTTATTAAAATATTTAAATTTGACCAATTTAATTTAAATTTAATATAACTCTAATAGAGAATATTTAAATATTATAAAAAAGTAAAGACAACCTAAATATTTAAATCCAAAACAATTGAAAACAATAAATTTTAACCTGTAAAAACCGTCTTCCCAATGGGAAAAAAACCATTGGTGCATTAATGGCCCAATAATGGGAGCCATCATTCCATTATTGTCCCATTATTGGCACCCAATAATGGACTACTCATGGTAAAATCGTGGGATGTCCACGCCGATGCCAATAATTGGCAACCATTATTGGGCCAATAATTAAAAAACCATTAAGCCATTAAAAAACCATTAATCAAAAAAAAAATTTTATTAACTTTTATTAAATAATAAATTTATTTATTTAATAATTATTTCATTTATTATTATTATTATTATTATTTATTATTATTAAAAATATTAATTTTTTTAATTAATTATTTTATGGAAATGGTTATTATTTTCTATCACATCGAAATGTGAATAACCTTTTCGTTCAGAGTCTAAAAATTATTTACCTCACATCCATCAGTGCAAAAATAGGAGAGGACGGGCAGAATAAAATTCTACAAATATCCGTGAGAATGCTGCCTCCTTATATACTTTTCAAGTTTCATGTTAGTTGCGAGAGAGTTTGAAACAACAGCTCCTACGGAGCGTTGAGCGAACTACATACAATTACTTACCGACGCTGCAGAAATTATCATGTAGTAAGTATGTAGTTCGCTCAACGCTCCGTAGGAGGTGTTGTTTCAAACTCTCTCGCAACTAACATGAAACTTGAAAAGTATATAAGGAGGCAGCATTCTCACGGATATTTGTAGAATTTTATTCTGCCCGTCCTCTCCTATTTTTGCACTGATGGATGTGAGGTAAATAATTTTTAGACTCTGAACGAAAGGGTTATTCACATTTCGATGTGATAGAAAATAATAACCATTTCTATAAAATAATTAATTCAAAAAATTAATATTTTTAATAATAAATAATAATAAATAATAATAAATAATAATAAATAAAATAATTATTAAATAAATAAATTTATTATTTAATAAAATTTAATAAAAAATTTTTTTTTATTATTGGTTTTTTAATGGCAGCCAATAATGTGCCAATAATGGTTGCCAATTATTGGCATCGGCGTGGACATCCCACGATTTTCCCATTAGTGGTCCATTATTGGGAGCCAATAATAAACCTAGAGAAAACCAATGGCTCCCAATATTGGGCCATTAATACACCAATGGTAGACTAATGGCCATTTCCCATTGGGTTATTAAAAAAGAATAAAAATATATGAGACTTTCGAAATATTACATTTTCAACTGCAAAAATAAATTCTAAATGCTAATTTTAATTTATATACAAATTTTTATTAATGTGCTAGTAATATTTTTTTTAAGTCAAAAGTTAAAGGTTCCAGAGAATTGCCCTTATGACTATACAAAATATATTTATTTTTAATGGAATATTCAATTTTAAACGAATTGTAAAATTTAAAAATGAAATAATTAAAAATATTACAATTCTTTGAAATTTAGAAACTTCACCAAAAAAATGTAAATCTGAATTTAAGAATACCATCTTGGCTCCTATTTAAGAATATTATACACGGAAAAAATAAATTCTGTAAGAATTCCTGAATTTGTTCCATAATTGAGAATTTGTGCAAAGTTCCAGAAATTTTTAGAAATTCAATGTAAGTATATCTGAATCGTTCCGAACTAATTACGAAACGGTTTTTGTGAGACTTTCAAAATCAGCATTGTAAATAAATTCCTGGAGAAATACAGGACTGGTCTATAATATTATCGAAATTTTGTCGTAGAAATTATATTTCTTCTAAAATAGTATTTACAAGCGTCTAATCGTGTACTTGCGTTTATTTGTGTATAAATTATGTGTGCGTTAGAATATATGTAGGTAGCTATAAGTGTATTATGTATGTATGTATGTCTGTGTATCCTCCTCAACCAATCACAGTTCGCCTTGCTTGACGAATGTCGATCAAGTATATACGCGTATACACAACTTCTTTTTTTTATTTTCTTTGCTACGGAATTGTTCCGGAACTATTCTGTAGCCCTTATAAGAGCTTCTTCATATATGAAGCGACCCTCTGAATTTTTGCCGAACTCATCGGAAGTTCTACCGTCCAGACTATCTGAAATACTCAGCCGCTACATTTCGTAAAAACTATCACATAAATACCGAGTTCTTACCATATAATTTCTAAATATCTATTTTGAAAGTTCGACATTTCTTCCAAATAACAGCTCTATAATAATTACCGACTTTTGCTCATATCCTCAATTTCGGAACGAATTCAGGAACTATTTCTGAATTATTTTTTTCCGTGTATACTTAAATTAAGTAGATACTATTTTTAAAATAAGAATATATACTTAATATCAGAAATATATTTTAAGTGTATATTCCTCTTAAAATTATTTTTCTAATATTAAGAATATATTCTTATTTTAAAAATAGTATCTACTTAATTTAAGTATACAATATTCTTAAATAGGAGCCACGATTGTATTCTTAAATTCAGATTTACATTTTTTCGGTCTCCCCACGATAATAGAAATTATACTCAAATGATTTTATATTCAGTCCGAAATCTGAATTTTCATTTTTCTCCGTGTAATTCAAAATCTTGATGACAAATAGAAATCATCAGAATAAACTAAAATTTTCTTAAATAATATTTTTTGTCAAATTGAAATCATGCACTCAGAAAAATAACGTTGGTGAAGTTTACAACGTTTATAGTCAACGATTTCAGAAGAAAAATATTTTTTAAAGCAACTTATTATAAATTTTTGTAAAGAAAATAGTACGAATAATTTAATGAATAATGATTTACAAAAAAAATATTTGTGAACAAAAAATGTTATTCTTTTTGATAGAAAAATTATTTTTTTTCTTTCAATCGTTGATCATAAACGTTGCGAACTTCACCGACGTGAAAAATAAGTTTAACCCCCCTTCACACATCTGCGGAAGGATTCCAACCCCGGTTTCAGTATTTTTTAAATAATAACTTTTGTTTTCCTCATTGTAAAATAAAATCAGTTTCTATACCTATCGACGGTTCCCCCCTCAACATATTTCTAAAAAAACAATTAGTTTAAACATAATTAATCTTCAATTATGAGGCTTCAAAGCTAACAAATCTCGAAAAAGTGAGAAAATTGTAAGGCTATGTCCAAGTTGTGAAATGTAAACAAACCAAAAGGTTACTACACCAGCACTAAAAACGCAATTTTGCGACAGCCAATTCTCCCACAAAAAATAACAATTTTACACTTTCTCTACAAAAATGGAAAATTAGAGTTTCAAAATGTCCAAAAATATCATGTTTGGCTATGAGCAATAAAAAGCAATTAGTAAAATAACTAATTAAAATGACCTGTAAAATGGCATTTTTGACGCGTCGCGAAAAATAAACTGTTTGAGTATATCAACCGCACGGATGATGAAGAAGTTCCATGTCAGCGATTGGACCTTCAACATGTGGAAAGGTAAATTTTTCCCTTTCCTCCTTGAAATTACAAGAGAAAGGGTAAAAACTTCTTCATCGTCCGTGCGGTTGATATAGTCAAACAGTTTAATTTTTCGCGACGTGAACTCTGTTGCTCGCTGCGCGTGCGCAGACCGTACCAAGGTCGCAATGACATCACCATGAAAAAAGGCACATTTTGTTTTTGACTGAAACTCAGTGGTTTTCTCATTTTTTCAGTTATTTAAAGTTTAGTAACCAAATTCGGTACTTTAGTTCACCATTTCCATAAAAAAAATGTGAATTTATATTTATTTACGCATATGGGAACGGCGAAAAAATGCTTCACTATTTGGTCTATAATGAAGCATTTTTTTGCTGTTCCCATTTGCGTAAATAAATATAAATTCACATTTTCTTTATGGAAATGGCGAACTAAAGTATCGAATTTGGTAACTACACCTTGCATAGCTGAAAAAATGAGAAAACCACTGAGTATCATTCAAAACCAAAACTAAGAATACATTGACAGCACCATGCGAAAATGCACATTTTCTTTTCGACTGAAACTTAGTTATTTTCTCATTTTTTTCAGCTATGCAAGGTGTAGTTACCAAATTCGATACTTTAGTTCGCCATTTCCATAAAGAAAATGAGAATTTATATTGATTTACGCAAATGGGA